TTTTGTTAAAAAAAAATTATACTCAAATTAGTTTTTTTATATTGCTAATGCCTTGCTGATTAATTTGACACCAAATACATGTCATATATATGAACTGTTAGAAAAGTTATCAAGTGATCTTTATTTTTTTTCATATTTAGATTGGAATTTTTTATTTTTTTTTTAATAATGATTTCTAATTTTTGTTGCGTACTACTGACTGTTTATAAGCAAGTACGCTGTTTATTAGCAATTTAGTTTTATCAACCCAGAAATAAAAAATGGGAAATTTCTAGAACAAGAAAATTTAGTCTTTGTATATCACAATACGTACTTAAAAAAAATTAAAGATAAAAATTGAAATAAAAATTATCAAAAACTTATGATAATAAAGAAACTGCTTTAAAGTAGTACTTAAAAATCTGAAAATTTAGGGGTGTACTATAAATGGGGAGACCTAAGAGCGCACGTAATTTCAACTCACCCCTTCCACCCTAGGGGGTGGGGTGAAGGTTTTTTTTAGACGTACCCTATTTATTTTGCGATTTTCGGATTGTACGCGTAAAACTACCCCCAGAAACGCGTTCTTGGGGGTACGTCTAAAAGACCACCCCTCACCCCCTCTGCACCTACTAAGGTGGAAAGGGCCAGTTGAAATCAGGTTCGCTCTTAGGTCTCCCCACTTATAGTACACCCCTAAAATTTCAGATTTCTATATTTATTTTTGAAGGAGAAAAATGCTCATCGAAAAAACGACAAAGTCCATACGAGGGTGGTGGTTTGGTTTTTGTGCGAATTCGGCAAGAACGCGCTTTCGGGGGTAGTTTTACGCGTAGAATCCGAAACTCGCAAAATGAGTAGGGTACATCTAAAAAAACCACCCCTCACCCCCTAGGGTGGAAGGGGTGACTTGGAATTATGTTCTTCCCATCTATAGTACACCCCTAAAATTTCAGATTTTTATATTAATTTTTGACGGAGATATGCCAGGTACCGAAGAGCTACTACAGTCCAACCCAAGCCTACCACACAAGTTTTTAGTTTTAAAATGTAAGGTTAAGTTTGAAATTTGGCTTTACTGATGAAATGGCGGGAAAATTGATATATATCAACTATTAACATATATATAATAGCTGATATATATCAAAAATTGATATATATCAATTTGTTATATATTTTCACTCACATCACTATGAATTAATGCACAAATAACAGACTTTCCTCCATTCTGAGGCAGATTTTCTATAAAATGGACTTGGTTTGAAACGCAAATAACTTTTTGGCGAAAAGAAATTTGTAATCTGCCGCTTTTGAACAAGTGGCATCGTAAATTACAAATTTCTTTACAACAAAAAGTTATTCGAGTTTCGGACTAAGTCCATTTTATAGAAAATCTCCGTTAAAATGGGGGAAAGTCTGATATTTGTTCATTAATTCATATTTAGACAAACTGGTTGCCTATCTGCTATAGAGCCCTCTTAAATATTCACATATCATTAAGGAACAAATTCATAATTTTTTTAAAACCTCACCATATCAAGTTTCGTTGAAATATCTTTAAATTTCCTTATAAGTGAAGAAGTTTTGTTTAAAAAAAATAGTAAAAATGTCTTTAACGGTGTATATTCTCGTTACTGTTGAACTTATTTAAATATTTTGTTGAAAGTTCCCAATTGTATGTATGTAGTATGGGTCATAATTTTTCTTGGTATCTTCGTATTTGCTATAAGCGGCGGGGGTAAAGGGTAAATAAACGAAACGAAATCATTAACCATGTATTAATTACATTAAGAAACAGCTTCTCATTAAATAATTAAAAAAAAGGGCACATGTCCAAAGGAAGAGATAAAGTGGTACATTAAGAGATTATGCCTTTTCAAACGATTTTCATCTAAACTACGGTGATCTTCCAACATATGAACATATACGTAAAAGTGATTTAGTTCTTTTAAACCTCTTTACCGGCAACAAATCAAATGGAATGTGTCTGAAAATTCTACATGGTCGAAATTTCAAATCGAACGTCTGTCTTTACTTGAGATCTAAGAAAATCGGGCATTGCAAGCAGTTCTGGCAGTTAAACGGGTCGCTTTAAAAGAACCAAATTGAAACGGTGGGTCATAGACGAATATACAGGGTAGAGCTGAAAATGGACGAAATCTTTTCCCAAAACAAAAAAAAAAACGTAAATCAGCTCGACGGCTATACATAATGAGAGTAGAATATAACAAGTGTAAGTACAATTTTACTTAGCTCCATATAATAATTATCATATACTTCAGATAACAACTCATATAACAGCTACAGACGGAAATGTAGAGCTCGGCGCCTGAATTACTTTTAAACGAATTCGGGCGCTTCAGTTAACTTTTTATGTAGGTACTCGTACAGGAAACCGCAAACCCGGGACTCATACCGGTATACGATCTGCGTCCAATCTCGGGACACAAAAAACAGCGGTCTTTCAAAAAAATCCAGTAAAATTTGTCCGCAGTTACTTACTTGCGGCCTTTGTTATTTGGGTACTTCTGCCGCAGTGAGAAAGGAAAAATTTGAAACAAACAACCCCCAGCACCCAAAAAGGATTAGTCAAGGACCTGTTGCCAGATTTTATTTACGAATCTTGCCAATTTGAGCATTAGAAGTTGCAAAACTGAAAATAAACGACAATATTTATTGGTCACCGTGATAAAATAAAACTGGAAATTGAAAATGGATAATTTATTTAATGTACAGGGTCGTTCATGTAAAATCTACCCCCCTTAGCGTTTTACTTCTCTATCTAGGAAAAAATGGTAAAAAGGACGTAAACTTCAGGAGTTTCTTGTGAATTCCAAAAACAATTGATTATTGCAAAACCAAACCTTTGTTTCTTTAATCATCTTTTGTAATACGTGTCACATATTTGCTCTGGTAGTTTGCACTTATTTTGGTTTATTTACTGACCCTCCACGACAGACAATGCCAAGATTGCCATGGACCTAGTGCATATATTTATGCTTTTCCGTTAAGGTCAAATTGAAAAGCAGCCTTTAGCTGATACTTCACGTTTTCATTGTACACTACCGACAATGAATAAAGGCCATTTATTATTATTATTATTATTATTAAATTTATTAAACAATCTTTAAATATTTTATTAAAAAAATATAAAAGGCGTTTTGTAATATCTTACTGTGTTCCAAACAAGTTTTTTTTTTAATAATTTTTTTTACAATGGTTTAATTCTGTGACCCGCCAGAAGTCCTGATCTGACCACCGTGTGGTTCTTTCCCCGTGAGATTTTGAAAGATAAAACAAAAGAATATCTAATAATTTGTACGACCTAAGGGTGAAAATATTGAACAAAATATCAATGATGTGGATAAAAGGGCATTGCAAAAAACATACTTTAAAAATATGTCCTCTGCTTACAACAGCATGAAAATATTACAAAACACTTTTTTTCTACAAAACTGTTAAAAGTGGGTTTTTTAATTGTCATTTTTGATGTTAAAAATGTCATTTTTTGACACGTGTGTTAAAACTAAGTTACTTTTAACACTAGTGTTAAGTAACTTAGTTTTAACACACGTGTCAAAAAATGACATTTTTAACATCAAAAATGACAATTAAAAAACCCACTTTTAACAGTTTTGTAGAAAAAATAATGTATGATATACGTGTTAAAAGTGATTTTATTTTGTTCGTGAAGTTAAAAAACTCGCTAAGCTCGTTTTTTAATCATCTTCACTCACAAAATAAAATCTTACTTTTAACACGTATATCATAAATAGCTATTATAACAATATATATTTTTTTGAGGAATTTACACAATTGTTTAACAGTGAAAAATATAACCTACCCGTAGTAGTTCCACAGCAACCTTGACTACGTGTATAAATGGAAGTATTGGGTAAACTACTAAAGCAAATATACAGGGTGTTCTAGAATATGTGGGCATTCTCACAGATGTGTACAGGGGACGTTAAAATAACAAGACAGGTCCTTATAAAAATTTCTCCTAGAGGGCCCCCTTACTGAAAATCGATTTTCTTAATAACTTTTAAAATATTTTGTGTAACTCCATTATTTTTTTTACACACTTTACGATAAAGGTACAAAAATAACATTTTTAGATAGCTTGAACTAAAAAAAGGCACTCTTGATTGATATCGATAAAATGGAACTGTTTTCAAGAAAAAAAACTACTTTTTGTTTAATACGATTTTTATTACATCCCTAAAGTGAAATAAACCGATGAAATTAGCCATTCTTTCTGTACCTATCTAAAAAAATTCTACTTTTATTTACATTTTTTATTTTTTCATAAAAATAATTAAATTGTGCAGCGTTTTAAAAGTTATTAAAAAAAATTGATTTTCATATAACCTGTATTATATGTATCTAACCATTGTAATCAGGAAAATACAAAAAAATTACATACAGGATGTTAAAAAAAAAATGTTTTCTTCAATCTTCAAAACGGAACATTCAATTGTTTTTTTTTACATATTTTGTTGAAATCGAAAGAGAACATCCTAAACGTTCGGTTCCTACCATGTTTGCATCCGAAAGGACGTAAAATTGTTGACTGTTGGTCCCCCGTCTCCGCAACGTTAAGCAAATAAAAAATCTATGCCCTACGACAATGTGGGGGCTCGACAACAGTTGCAGGTAAACGTAAAATAACCAACAAGGAAAAACGCGACACTGAACTTATAAAACCGACCCCTCGACAGATCCTTTTTGGCGCATTTAAAATTTTCCCTTTTCGGTGCGACAGAAATACCAAATCGAATAAAAACGGTTTGTGGCAATTCCCCCGAGTGAACCTTTCCGTATGAGACTGGCGTACCGCAACGGCCTTGTCGAGTTTAAAAATAATCCAAGCCCCAAGCGCCACAGAACTCACAGAAAAAAGCATTTCCCGTGCAGGAAATCTATAGAATAATTGCACAAATTCGAGTACAAATAAATAAAACCCTTGTGCATCGCTCCTCTAACTAAAAAAAAAAAATAAGAAAAAACGAAAAAAATCATAAAGTATCAACAAAATAATTTTATTCCAAAAATAGGTATATAAAATCCGTAAAATAAAACTTTAAATTTGAGTACGCATTCCCGTCGCTTCGCATATAAATAGAATGAGGTTCTCCCTTGCACGTTGGGAACGCGTACCGAAACCAAACTATTAATATATAAGGATTATTTCAGAATTGAAACAGTCATCTAATATAGTGGAATACTGGGAGAGGGGGGGGGGGCAGGTAGGAAGGGGGGCGAGCGGGGATGGGGTTTAGCCGCTCTTAAAGAGCAATATCGCCACTTGCCCGAGATAGAAGTAGATGAAGTGGCGCGTTTCGTGGGTGACGTATGATCCGAAATTCCTTCCAACGATGCAGTGCCATGTCGGGTTGTACTTTTTGTCAAATTCCTTCTTAATGTACGCAGCGATATCCTGGAAAACAAATTGCCACGTCAAACTGCGCCTTCAAAGTGACCCGCGGGTCCAACGTTAAAGAAAAAGCACATCAATGCGTACAATGTTGGGAACTTGTATGTGCTCGGTGGACAAGTACGCTGCTTTTGTGGTTTCTCCTATTTCTCAAATCGATAAAAAATTTATAGAATATACAGGGTGATTCACGAACGGTGACCAAAAATGAAACCCTGTATTCTTTGGTGAATTTTAAGGGGAGTATTTCGTATAAAATTTTTGTCTAGGTCGCTTCGTTAAAGGGTGTTAAACTTCAAAAAATGTTTTTAATTTTTTTAAATAATTTAATAACTAGTAAGTGAAATAATTTGAAATTGGGCACAAGTATTTATGTAAATGTATTCCAAAATCTGAGGATTTTTCTTAAAATTAAACAATCTTAAACAATCATGATATTTTCGGATTCGTCTTTCAATTTTCTACAAATTACTATCTTATATTCTTCGGAAAAAGCCTGATTTTCAAGTAAAATTTAAAAAACCAACTGAAAACACACTTCGATATTTTGATATTCTGGGCAGTTAAAAGAAGGAAAAACAATAAATTTCAAACAAATTTCATTTTTGAGCATTTACTCAAATAAAATCATTAACGTGATTAATATTATTAATTTCTTTATTCGAAAAAATAACCGAATGATTAGTGTTTGTCATGTCATTTAAGTAAAAGTGTTTTCAGTGCGTTTTTAAGTTTTACTCGAAAATCAGGCTTTTCTCTAAAAACATAAAAGAGTAGTAATTTGTAGAAAATGGAAAGACAAATCCGAAAATATTATGGTTGTTACCGTAAAGCAGTGGCGTACTGTTATCGATACCCTATATCTCCGCCAGTAGAGCATCTAAATTTTAGGAAAAGCCCTCAGATTTTGGATAAGGTTTACATAAACATGTGTCCAAGTTCAAATTATTTACTTACTAGATTTTAAATTATTGAAAGAAATTAAAAACATTTTTTTAAGTTGAACACCCTGCATCTTTTTAACAAAGCGTCCTAGATAAAAACTTTATATGAAAAACTCCCCTTATTAAAGTTCACCAAAGAATACGAGGTTTAATTTTTGGTCACCGTTTGTGAATCACTGTATTTTAGATAAAAAAATTTAATGTCACCTCTATTTTCTTTCAAAGACGTTTTATAACTTTTTTTTGTTTGTGAAAATATTTGAGTTTTGTTCTTTATACAGGTTTTTTGTTTACGTACAATTCAGTGGCATAAGCGATATTTTTCTAAAATTTCTTGATTTTCATTTAAAACACATACATATTTTTATTTTTTTGTATTTTTGAGACCTGCATAAAATTCCCTAACAAATGGTGCATCATAATAATGATTTATTAATTTCTTACAACCAAATAACTTACAATAGCTGAATATACACGAGCAGTTTTATCGACCGATTTGTTCGATTTACCATTGAATTGTATAAATTGTAAAGACAAAACTGCTAGTTTGGGTCATCAAGAAAAATTGAAAAATTCTATTTTGGCGGTTAAATTGGTACCAAATAATTTGGAGCGATTATTTTGTCACGTACACTAACACAGTGATTAAACGGCTGATAAATCTGTCGTGAATTATAGGGCGATATTTTGTAGAGCATCATCTGCGTGTTAGTACATGTCGGAGGAAATATCTGCGCGACATATAAAGTCGGTAAATTTCTATAATGAGTTCAGAATATACAATTTCAAATATGGCATCAAAAGAATTTATTACTGGACTGATCGATTTATATCGTAATCACCCGTGTTTATGGAAAACAACCTCACAAGAATATACAAATAAAAATATTAAAAACAAGAGTTATAAGGAATTAGTGGCGTAACTGGCGTATTATATTCTTTCCTCAATAACCATGTTTTAACCCACTTTGTTCGCTTTTTATTTCTTCTGCGTTGTTTTATAATCACATAACCCATCATTCCAAGTAATAAAACGCGTTTAAAGTCGTTTTTGTTCATGTTTTCGTGGCAAACTATACTTACGAGTAACAAATAAATTGCTGATTTTTTGGACTTCCGAAAGATCAACAATGACAGAATAATCTTACCAAATTTATAGATAAACCTTTGTGAATGACACAGACGTAACAAATAAACAGGCAGATAAACTTTGTACCATAATTCGATTCAATAAAACTTCGCATTAGTGTCCTCTCTAAAATTTGTCCGAAAGATTTTACTTAACGATTTATCTGACAATAATTATTTGGTACAATTTATCGCTCCAATAAGTCTTTGCGTGTGTATTCAACTATTATAACAAAAATTTCCTGCAAAAGGATCTATTGCTCCTTATACATTTGGGTCCCATAAAAAAAATGACCAAAATTATAAATTACTGTAAATAAAGAACTTATAGGTAGCGTCAGACCAATTAAAAGGCAAGTATAATAAAATATTACACAGGGTGTCCGAGGTTTTAACCAGGAAAATACAAAATAAAAAGTTCATATGAACTTGAATATTTTAAAGATTCATTTTCGAGATACGGGGTGTTAGTCAATAAAAAAACCCTTTTTTTAGTTACTCAAAAACTACTTGGTCAATTTTAATAAAAGCAAGGGACTTACTTTGACGTAATTAAATTTAATTTAGTTATGCCAGGGGCATCGCTGGAGCTAACTAGACAAAAAAATATATAGACAGGGTGTTCCAATTAAAATTTCCCACCTGGAAAATATCGGATTAAAAAAAAAACCGGAACACTTCTCAAGGGGGACACGTCACGATGTAAGTTTTGGTGACTTTGAAGCTACCCCTTCAGAGGGGCGAAAGAATACCCCTAAACTATTGTTGTGTGACACCTCATTTTAAATCTTTTTCAATTCTGCTCACGACTTTTTAAATTTTGGTTTTTATATGACAATAAAATCATCACGTAAAGAATAAGTCAAAATATCAATGACTGAAAGAAATGTTATTTTATTAAACGTTCAAATTGGTTTCCCTCCGCTTCCATACATCTTTGCTCCATTTCCGAACGAACATTTCGAAGCATTTCGGGCGTTATCTGAGGACATTCTTCAACAATTCGCCGACGAAGCTCCTCAAGTGAGTTCGGTCATGTTGCATAAATTTTCGACTTTAAGTGATGTCCTCATAGAAGAAAGTCTAAGGGCGATAGATCTGGCGATCTGGTAGGCCTATCAATTGAACCTCTGCGTCCTATACTATTATAAAAATCTGTGCTGCCTGCCGTCCACAGTCGTTATTCTTGTTCCACTTTTTCAGCAATTGTATCAACCGTTTTCACGAATTGGAATTCAATCAACTTTGTGATGATTTTACGGGATATTGTATCGACAAGACAAGACGAGACAATATTGTCTCGTTTAAAGTAAATAAGTAAAAAGTTGAACTGAAAACAAATTTTTTTATGGAGAAATTGTTGAAGAATGGCATCAGATACCGGCCGAAATGTTTGTTCGGAAGTGGAGCAAAAATTTTATTCTTGTATGGAAGCGGAGGGAAACCAATTTGAACACTTAATAAAATATCATTCACTCCTCTATTGATATTTTGTCTTATTTTTTAAGTGATGATTTTATTGTTTTTTTTTTAATTCTGATATTTTCCAGGTGGGAAGTTTTGATTGGAACACCCTGTATATTTTTAACTATTGTGATTGTGGAATTATTGTTTTGGGTGCTGTAGTTGCTAGCCAGGGATTATCTTTTCCGGGACAGGCAGGCATATGAATTTCATTTTTTTTCTTAACAAACGAGAGAACTGGACAAGTTAAAAACGTCGACTAATCCGACGTTACGTATCCAAAAAAGTAGCAATATCTCGTAAACCGAACCCCAAATCAAAACCTTAATTAAGAATGGTTTGTATTAGTAGTAAAGAAAATTCCCACAATTTGAATATTTTTTTCTCAAACACCCTGTATTTTCCAACATTCAAAACCGGTACAGGTAGGTTTTAAGTTCCCCTAAATAGGAATTTGTAGTCGCTATTTTCCTAAAAAAAAAAATTCCTAATAATTACAGCTCAAAGATAAAGTTACAGACCCCTCGAACGTGCATTTTGAATATGTACCCAACTAAAAAAAAATTATCAAAATATAATGATTTTAAGGGTGGTCCTTACCGTAGACACACTGTAAATACGCGCACCAATGGGGTTTACTTTCTCTAAATAAATTCAAAAATTCGAAGCTACCGAATATTTTCACAACACCCTGTACAAGTCGAAATTCAAGTATGTGTCTATTTTCTAATAGTGCTGCTTTTGCTTCTTTCCGCTGCACCTATCTCTAAAAAATTGTTAACCCACGGAATTAGGAAATTAATGTTTTTGACAAGAGCAGGGATCGACACAGGGTACCTGTACACTTTTTTACGTACATAATGCGATATATATATTACACATAAAATTGACAACAAAATAAATCTGCCTTCGAGTCTTACATACTCGTGTAGGAGTGACATTGCCCAACAATGTTGATAACCTTGATATAGTGTTCCCGAACGATTAAAGTTAACTTAGACTGGGAAAACAGATAAAGTGATGCAGGTTTACCTTTTCGATATTGTATTTCTCGATGGCCTGTGTTGCACAGTCCACAGCGTCCTGCTGCATGTCTTCGCTCATATCGGCATTCTTGATTACAGCTTTGCGGTCAGTCATCTTGGGAACTTTTTGGGTGCTAGACCTGGAAGCAGAAAGGGGAGAATTTAGTCAAGGCGAGCAGGGCGTATGGGGGGGGCCTAGGACTGAAAGGATGCTAGGCTTAGAGAACCTTTTTTTGTAAGAACTTAGATTTCTGATTCGGACGAGGGCATAGGCCCGGAGTTCGCCCATAACTGGTACAACTACGAACCATGCCCATTTTATCAATATATATCACGATATGACACTTATCAAATACAATCATGCGATACATCAAACGAGAAATTGATTACAACATCTACCCGATACTTGATCGGGCGGCTGCTAACAAGGCACTACACAAAACGGGTACTTACGTGAATTTTTCAACAACTCACTAATTGAACGGTAAAAAAATTTGTGGAAGTGACTTTTCACGTTCTTTCAATTTTATTATTTTGTTGAATAAACCGATATTCAATTTTTTGATGCCTCTCACTTAGCGCGGATAGAGCAACTGAGGAAAATACAAATGCCAGACAGTTTATTGGTTAATTGTAGAGGCGTCTGGCAGAGGCTTCTGGCAGCCGGTATTGGATTGGTCGCCGCCGGGTAGCGCAGTGGCGTGTCGTCACGGGGCGAGCTATACGATAATCTTTGGTTTCTTCCAGAGATATCCACAAATTATCGATTAGGGTCAATGAAAATCGGCAATTTCTTCTGCTGCAGTAGTATTACGTAAACACATTGCCACAAAATGACAAGCGGACATGCACACGTCGTTTATGTAAATTTAGAAACATACCATGCAATAGAAATAACATTAAAATGAATGCGTACCAATTTATGTTTAATTTTATGTTCTCGCAAAACGATGCTTTTAACGTACTGCTCATTAGATCATTACTGGTGACTCTAAAAGCAATAAAATATCACAAAAAAACCATCATCTTAGCCGGTTAGGAACATAAGACCAACATGCACAAATTTACTACACATGTTTTACCAAAATCTAGAAAATAGATAATGGCAGCCGGCGTGGCCGTTCTAGTTCAGTTATAATAATGATATAACATTTAAAACTTTATGTATTTTTCAGGAATTGACTAAAAAAATATATGAAACCCAGCCCGATGTCATGCATTGGAGTCTTCTAAAATCAATAATAAGCATCTTTAACACAGCAAGCAACTTACTTCTCAGAGATTTATTGCAGCGCCAAGCGAAACGTAGAGCTGCACAGTGCTAATTTGTTTTTATAAAAATATTAATCATTTGGACCCTTTTTAACTACGATAAGACGGAATTTCGGTCTGGTACAAAGAAAACGGAAAATCAATATCAGCCACTTGGCGCAATCTCCGCTCCGCCAACGCCAAATTTTAAAATGTTATTGATAAATCTAGTCTAGTTAAAAATATATTTTCTCAAGTGCCGCGGGGCACCTTATCATTTCGTATATTTTGTACATCCCTTTTTCGGAAGCGAGATGGCATATCGAATATTACGAATTCTTTTGTTTCGCATTTCGTAGCAAACTATTTCCAAACCTACATAGACAATTTTAGGTTAGTATTTCAATTTTATTAGAAAACAAGGAGAAAAATATCTGTATAAATTATTAAAAAATCGAATTAAGAGGAAAAAACTGTGGAAATGGAAGAAAAAGTGGCGGAGCAGACGAGTCTAATGGAGACAGATAAAAATATTAAAGAGGGGGACGATTTCTACAAGCAAATGGTAGAATCTATGTTGGAGTATTTTGAAAAACTGAACGATCTTTACAACCAAACGATGATCATGCGGTTGGAATCAGCAAAGGCCAAGCTGGACTACCTGAAGTGCCAGGAGGACTTGGAGAATATAAATAACTTACTGGAAAGTAGTTACGAGGAATCAGAAGATATTAAAAAATAATTTAACGTCAACACTAAACCTTTAGTCGTACTCTTCAGTTTTTGATAGTTTTAATGTATATTTTGATAGAAATAGATATTCTTGTTACTGGAAACAGCAATTGAATTCCTTTTTTATTTATAAAAACCCGTCCCAAGCTAATATTTCAAAATATCTTCATAGTTTTCTAATTTTCAGATTCAAAGAAGTTTAATCTCTTCCGCTGTTACTTGCTTTGTTAATGTTTTATTGTTTCAGGTACAGAAAAGTCGGAATATGTTTTAAAATTATTTATTTACAAATAATACATAAAATTATACAAAACATATAAAAATACATACAAGTGACTTTAAGAAAGTGCTCTACAAGAACTTATTAATTAATAAAACCTGTGCAAAACAGAGTCGTTGCTGAGGAATGTAAATGAAATGTATATAGAACGTTAACATCTTCAATTAGTGGCTCATAAAACAATCGTTTCGAACAGAGGTGAACCACAGAGAAATCTCGGGTGAGTGGTCGTTTCAATAAATAAAACGGAAAAATTGCAACAAGAATCAACATTTTATTTGTATCGATTTTATTTTATTTATTTTTTAATTACTGTAAACGTTATTTAAACATTTTTTTAAAGTGGGCCACCGCTGTTTGAAAAACCAAACGGTACGCAGCATAATAGTGCACGTGGTCAGAATTGTACCTACGTCTCGTTCTTGAGCAAATATAATACCGTATTTGCTTACATATTATCACATACAATTAAAACTAATCTAGGTATATTTATATGGAAAATAATCACAATGTAAACAATATTATTCGAACAATAGGTTTTATTATATTATGCTATATTTCAGTTAATATACAAATACTAACATTTTCTTTATCACAGTAAGATTAGTAATTTTCTTACGGAATCGTAGCACAGAACAGAAAAAAGGGGAGCGCGGCACGTTGAGATTTTTATGTCTCGTATGCCGGACGCAAAAAAAAATAAAATTTAAGCACGAGTAAACGTCTACATATTCGTACTTTTAGGCCCGTTTATGTTGCATTTGACACAATAAGAAAGGCTATTGCTTATCGAGAGAGGCTGTAGAATTTGTCGGCGGCATTGCAAAGCATATTCTTTAAAAATAGAGTGTATACCAAAAAAATTCCTGGTTTTCCAAATAGATTTAAAAAATTTGCTGTAACGATTATTTAAAAAATTATACTACGGCCACTATAAAATTTGCGCTAAATTGGAAACATTTTTATGACGTTTAAATCGGTTAAAATAAGAAAAAAAAAATATATATATATATATGGGTTTTTCTGCTAAATTTAGATTTATTTCGATACAGAAATTAAAATTAAGTCAAAATAAATGAATGTTAGCAGAATTTGCTCAAAATGAAAAAGTGAATTTTATTATTAATTTTCTTTTAAAGTAAAAATTGACAAATTCGTTTAGGTTGTTCTTATTTAGTATTGAGACAGGTAAAAGTAATAGAAACTTTTATTTAATGATATAAAAAATTTTTCGGTTGGCAACAACTTTTAAGCATTATATGCTTGGTAACATTCTATTGCAAAAAAATTAATTCCTTTTCATTTGAATTTAATTAAAAAAAAATAAAAACGTCTTTTTGTAATTTAATTCTTTCCATCGACGTGTTTTTTTTTTTTAATTAATTTGACAATAAAGACGCCAAAGTAGAAGAATTTTTTCAATAAGGAGCCGAGAAATTTTAATTCTTTACTGAAAAAAATTCAATGAACAGGAACGTTTTCTTAGCGAAATGTACTAAATTCTGCACATTTCAAGATTTTTATATACACAGCAATTTCCAAGATCCCCGTCTGCAAAGAAGCAGACCATATTAATTTAATTTGTTTTGAAATAATTTTATAAAAATTAGAGATATTTCCCGATAATTCCAGGCTTGGTATACACTCCGATTTTCTTATTAAGAACGACCTTCGAGTGGATCAAGTGAACAATATGCCGATAACGATGATTTTTATAAAATACAATTATTTAACATTAATCTAGGACGATTCAATAAAGTACAAAAGTTCTGTCCTTTTATAACTGCTCACCCTGTGGAGTGTGTCAATGGTACTTGATACATAATCGAGAAGGATATAAGACATTCTCCATTAAATTTAATGGCAAGCAAATTTGTACGATGTCTGTCATATATCAAGACCGAAACGGTTTCGTAAAGTAACATTTAAATTGTAAGCAATGATATTTTTTAATAGAGAAAAAAATTTCAGTGACGGCTGAAAATTGATACTTCTTGCATCGAAAAAGCTTCACGGTGTACAGTACGTTCACGGTTGGCGTAGACGGGAGATTTTTATTATCCGATTTATGGGAAACTTGATAAATAATTTTTCCTATTTTTAAAATAAGAAGTTCGGAAAAAGAAAAAACCATGTTGAGCCAAATATACACAACTTAAGTACATAAAAATATTTCAGAGACAATAATTTTAAAAAGAATAGTTTATGTGGTCTTATTTTTATGAACTCAGCCTAAACTCTTAACTAAGTAAAAGTACAAGGTCATTGATTTGTATACAATTACGTGGACAAGTGGCGGGGATACTAGGAGACACACGGAGAAATCACGAAATTTAATAAGTGCATTTGATTGGATTTCAATAGCGGGCCACACATTTGCAGTCTTTTAGACGGGCTTTGAATGACAGGTTTGGCCTGTTGGTTTTATTGTTAAAGCCTGATAAAGTTTGGCGGTCTAAAATGTTATATTAAGTGCGTGGCGGGCTGAAAGTTGACATTAACGACACAAAACTGTTGAAAAATCCTAACTGTTTGTGGGACATGGTCACTCGTCAAGTTGAAAATTTTACGTTAATTTAAATATCTGAATGGATTTTAATACGAGTTATTGTATTATAAAACGGAAGCATAAAACTTGTACCGCTTAGATAAAAAATAAAAGAAACGTGAAGCCATTGAGTTTTGTTGATTTTATTAGAATTAAGGTTAACTAAACAAAATGTACGAGAAAAAATTTCACCAGATGAATGTCTTGTTGCAACTTTAATATAACAACAAAAGGGCAAACCATCAAGTTTGTATGGTACAACTGCACTTCCTTTGACAAATAGTTATAGAACGGAAAATAGTACTTCGACGTTCAAGAATGGAGCTTGGCGAGGCAAAATATTCATTCAAGAACGCAAAAAGATTTTGCGTTCGAGATACAAACAATATTTTTACGAAAACTGCAATAAAATAAAACAACTGAACTGTGTTTGAATCAAAACGATTTAGACGCGGTGGCTATCATTACCATAGCAACCTAATAAACAATAAAAAGTTGATTGAAAATGTAGTGTCAGAATTATATATTTTAATTCATATTCTAAGTGTTTAATTGAAAATGAGCTCGAAAAGTGAAGACGGGCATCTGCCAGGGGAAGTATTGGGAGCGTCACAAAGTGCTGTTTCACAATTGATCCCCAAAAAATCGTCGAGACAGTAGGAGATTGCCTACAACAAATTCAAAGGGTGGTGTAGTTCGAAGGAAATTCAAAAAGTGTCCGAAGCGGCATTACTGGCATATTTCGAACATAAAATTAATAAAATTAAACCTTCGACGTTATGGTCAGTA